ATATACATAGTTACTAAAATTAGTTTCAGTCTGCATTAGGATTGATCTACATGTCTTTTAAGTTCAAGACATCCAGGGTTCTCCTGAATGTAAGACTAGTAAGTTGACTTACACAGACCAGAAAAATTTTATGAGTTTTTTTCTATATATGTTATAGAGAAGTGGTATGTGTTTTGATAATAATATTTCATAAGAATCATAAGTTATTAAAATTTATAGAAATTAAAGCCCAGACAGTGTATTTTGTAGCATAATCATAAAGGTAATAATTTATTGAAGTTTTATTATAGCAACAGAGGCCCAAATATCTTTAAAGTTACAAGTTTATGTAGTTGGGCCTCCAGTCCACTGTTGAATTGTGCAAAGAAGTGCAGAGGCACAAGACCTGTGTGTTGAAGAGTGACTAGAAGGCTGTCCTGGGTGGGAGACAACCCCCAAAATGTGTTGCTTGGGTTCTGTAATGTTTAAGAAATACTGGATTAAACAGATTTTTGTGGTGCAGGAATCTCATCATTTTTAATACATGTTATATCTTAATTGAAAGACAGAGTAGACTCTCTCCCAGGCTTGTTTACCCCCAGAGTTTGCTTCTTTCCTCCCTTCTGTTGAGAATCCTGGAAAGAACCAGACTCGCATAGAATCATTTTAAGTGTAACTGTATTAGGAGTTACGGTTTGGAAGTAGAAAGCATTCAGTATGGTGAACATCATAGAGTGTATTTTCATGGATTCCATTTGTGAAAGGGGCCATTTTAGACTAAGAAGATGCCGCTTGACATTGCTTTTCATTATATGGTAAATAAAAGGAGGTGATGAGGACCTTTTTTCATTACACAGAAGCAAGGAACTTTTCGTGCTTACCCTTGAGAGGGAATAAGAAGATATGACCACAGTTCATCGTTATTATTTATAAGGGTTTGGAAATCCTTTACTGAGAACTACTTTAATTTAACCTCCCAGTCTAGCTTGTTCATGTTCACGTGAAAAGGTCATGTATTTTAGCCTCTGTTTATTCTTCGTTTTTGCTGAATATCACGGACTTTTGGTTTCCTTGCTGTCATCATTTTTGAGGAAACCTTTTGCGCTCTGGAATCGAACAGATCAAAAGCTTTCCTTTAAGGTCATTGTGAAGCAACTCGAACAGATTTCGTATTTCTTACAATCTCTTTTCTGGAAGAGCATTTTCGTGATAGTAAGTAAAGTTGTGTGAACCTTCCGTATCTCTGTTAGAGGTCTAATAATAGCACCATCTACTTTCACTTTTCAGAAGGGTCCAGACTCTCAGTCTCCACAAAGTTACATTCTTAAGCAGGCACATCAGCAACCTCCCCATTCCCTGTGCTGTACAGCTTCCTTTGTTCTCATCTGGTTGTCTGTCAGTCACCTTGTTTATCTGCTTGGAGTGTCTGGGGAGAGCCCCAGTGCCAGTGATGCACAGGTGCTGTTTCTGGGCCTGGGCCAGCAGAAGATGGAAGTAGTCGGTTAAGACTTTCTTTCCTAAGACCCCCCTTCCTTTTCCTCCTCTGTTCTCTGTTCAGCAAATATTTGTTGAGTGCCTGTTATGGGCCATGTACTGTGCTAGGTGCTGGGTCGTCAAAGATGAACAAAACCAGACCTATTCTCATGGACATTTTTTTTTAATGGTCTGTTGCAGGAGAGACACATTAGTC